CTCCATACAGCAGAGTCGGTCGCACTACCGAGATGTAGATCCAGTGCATTAGTGCAGGTGATAGGCCCCATGTGCTGCTAAGCATCTTCTTGGATGCATATAGCGCAATGGTGGCCTTCTTCACCCTTTCCAATACATTGGGTCTCCATGTCAGCTTGCTGTCCAAAACTATGCCGAGGTATTTGACTTGTGTTTTTGGGGTGAGCCTGGTTCTGTCAATTTTCGGGGGGATCCATGCCGGTACCTTGTACCTCTTGGTGAAGAGGATGAGGTCCGTCTTGTCCGCGTTGATACTGAGTCCTACTTTTCCCGCCCACTCACATATCTCCCTGAGTGTTGATTCCATTATAGAGCTGAGGCTCGATGGGCATACTCCCGTAATAATTATGCTTATGTCGTCCGCATAAGCTGTTATTTTTGGGGCTCTCCTCTCGAATCTCTTTATCAGGTCGTCGACCACCAGATTCCATAGGAGGGGCGAGAGGACCCCACCCTGAGGTGTGCCTCTGTGCGCCCCTTTCACCATGGAGGCGGTGCCCCACTCTGAGTACACCCGTCTACAACTTAGAAGGTTCTTTATCCAGAGGTTGATTGCGGGATGTGTGTTGATCGCTTCTAGGCGGTCCATTATCGCGCTCATATTCACGTTGTTGAATGCTCCGGATATGTCTACAAACACTCCTAGTGCATACTTCTTATTTTGGAGGGCATTTTCGATTGTGGCTACTAGCGAATGCAGTGCCGTCTCTACCGATTTCCCTTTGGTATAGGCATGCTGGTTGGGTGACATCCGCCCACCTACATCATTTCTGATGTGTAGATCCAGCAGCTTTTCTAGTGTTTTGAGTAGAAAAGAGGTAAGGCTTATCGGTCTGTAGTCATTGGGGCTCATATGGCTGCACTTTCCTGCCTTTGGAAGGAAGACAATCCTCGAGGTCCTCCATTGAATAGGGATATAGCCCGTGCTCAGGCAAGCTGAGTATATTGCAGAGAGCCATGGGGTGATCACGTCTTTGGTCACCTGTAGCATGGCTGGGAATATACCGTCTAGTCCAGGTGCTTTCGTACCCACAAAGGAGTCTATAGCCCAGTGGATTCTCCTAGACGATATGAGATCTGTTGGGGGGTGCTGTTCCACAGTTGCTAGGTCCTGATGCTCTGTAGCGTCAGAAACCTCGGTGCATCCTGGGAAGTGGGCTTCCATTAGTGCTGTTAGGGCATCTTCGGTGCCCTCAGTCCATTGTCCATCATTTCGTTTCAGCTGACTTTGTATGGCAGGTTGCTTTGATAGCAACTTCCGGAGTCTAGCCGTTTCTGGGACTTTCTCGATATTGGAGCAGAAGTTCCTCCACGAGTTTCTTTGTGCCCTGCGTATTTCCTTCTTGTACTCCCTGAGTAGGGTTTTGTATTCCTCATCGATTATCTCCTCGTTCGCCTGTTTGGCGATTTTGAAGAATTCTTTGAGGTTATTTCTTTGAAGCGATAGGTCCCGGTTCCACCATAGTGGTCTGGTTCTCTTTTTCGTTCTCGAGGGTGAGCATGCTGCGTGGTATGCATCCAGTAGCTCCTTGGAGAGGGTCTCTAGGGACGATTCTATCTCTTCCGGGGATGTCACTGTGCCCGCACGATTCGCGAGCTTCGAGGTAACTGTCTTTTTAAACTTTTCCCAGTTTGTGTTCCGGGGGTTTCTATAGACAGTTATCTTCGGAGAGTGTTTAAATTCGCACTTAAACTGAATGTACTTGTGGTCTGAGAAGGATGGTCTTTCAAGGACTCTCCAGCCAGATACCAAAGTACAGTTCCCCATTACGAGTGTTAGATCTAGTACGTTGGACGAGGTGGGGCATACGAAGGTGTGCTCCTCCCCCACGTTTGCTACATCTAGGTTAGTGGATAGTATAAAGTCTAGAAGTGACTCACCTCTTTCGTTGATATCGGGGCTTCCCCACACGCTATGGTGGGCATTGGCGTCCGTACCAACTATGAGTTGCTGGTCTTTCGGACTGGCTTCCGCCACCAGACTCCTTAGCTCTTCCGGTGAAGCTGGCCTGTCGTGTGCCATGTAGCAGGATGCTACCATAAGGCGCTTGTCCTCGCTTTCAAGCATCACCGCAGCCAGGTCTTCAGTGCTGTAATGAGACATAAGATAAGCATGGATGCCCTTTCGTACAAGTACGGCGGTTCTAGTCCTGCTTACCGATGGTGGGTAGAAGAGATTGTAATTTGAGGACTATTCTGGCTATAATAATGATCCGATCTGATTCAGATTCGGCAATCTGGTAGATATGGTCATTCTTAACGATCCTGCGTTTTTAGTTTTATCGTATCTTCAAAGTTGTGGCTGCCACAGATTAAAATTTTATTTTTTAATTCTAAAATTCTAAAAAATCGTAAGCTCAAAAATTTATATACTGACTGAGTACGGGTATAAGCAGAGTCGCGTCCCCAGAAGCGACTCACACGTTCCTTCTCGTTTTATTTAGGGACCATTTAATACTTCTTCTTTCACTTTTGCCAGTGACAGACGTAGAAAAACAGTTTTTAGGGGTCTCATTGATTCACCAGTGCTTTTACCAAATTTTTCATTGGTCCTAGCTTAATGTGCAATGGTGGTAAAATTAGATCTGAAAACTTCACGACAGCAGCGTTCTGTTTGTTGTAATTTTCCAAAGTATGTTCCTCCCGTTTCGGCCAAAGTTTTCTTGAGTTATGCTCAGTTCTAGCTCTACTATCCCATTGGTACAGAAAGCAGCAGTATTTTGTATAGCCAATTTGGAATCCCGTTAGCATGGCTACGACTTTTAAGTCACACGCCACCTACCACTGGTGTTCAAACAATTGTTTCATTATTTGATATGCTATGCTGCACCCAGTTGCTTGAATAGTCCGAAGATGTCGTGGCAAATGTACATATCCTTCGTTGTATAACATTGTGCGTAGGTTCCAACAAATCGATTAATTGTTCCTATGAAATGCGCTTGCAATATTTCCATTCTCTTGAAAAGTTATTACTTGAACCCGTTGTTCCATGCGACGATATCTAGCTTTTTTTGCGTTTTAGGGGAGGTATTTCCTCTGAACGTCGAGCAAGAAGGGTGAAGCCAAGACCAGATTGTTAAAAAACAATTTTCAAGTGTTTCCCAATTCCAATTTTCCGTACTGAACAATAGAAACATTCGAAGCCGTGAATATCTGTATTTTTCTACAGCATTCAATTAAAATTAAAATTGTTTTCTAAAATGGAAAGGAAAAAATAATGTTTATTATTTTTTGTAGACTTAATAGTTTGTCAACTTACTTTTCGTCGTAATCATATGATGTTAAATTCAATCTGCACATTTGACATGTACAGATTAGTGCCCACTCTTCAACAAAACTTTCGGGCTTGATTTTAAAGTTTTCTTCATTCTGTTTTTGGAGAGTTTCGGTAAAAGCTACTTTTATTTCGTTGATCATCATGTACTTACCACATATGTAGCAAAATGAGTCTGCTTGGAAAGCACATGAAAATAATCGGCCAGAGGTATCCATGACAATTGATTTTAATTATAGACAAGATTTTTTGGTAAACCCACGATCTTATTTTGAGGCAAGTCATAACTACACTAAAGCACAGACACTATAGGCACAGACCTATATATCCAAAACTATGAGTAGGTAGCCGCGACAAGATCTAATTTGTGGGGAGTTGTAACTGTCAACAAAATTTAACGCCAAAGGAGCATGATCAGGTACCAAAAAAATACAAGTCGATCTCGTTTGCTTTGACCCCAATTGGGCACTTGGGGCCTGCAACCTTCCAAAAGGTATTTTTTTAGGTTTGGTTAACGAAATTTAGCTCCACTATCTCTCCATAGATTTTAATAAACTAGGGCTGTTTCAAATTTATACCTGCATCAATTAGCTTTTCAGAATGGCAAGTTCATTACAAAAAAATGTAAGATACTTAAGTTATGTGAAAAAAGGCCCTACATCTAAAAAAAAAAAAGATTTAAAAAATACCAGATTTCAAAAATTATTCAAAAAAAGTTCTGCCATAGAAAAAAACGAGAAGGAACGTGCGCTTCTGGGGACGCGACTCTACTTATACCCGTACTCAGTCAGTATATACATTTTTGAGCACATCATTTTTTAGAATTAAAAAAAAAAAAAAATTTTCATTTTTAATTTTTTGCTACATCTCTTATCTACATCTACAAGGTATATTCTACATCATTCTACATGTGTTCTACATGTACCATTTAGATTCTACATCTTTTTCGCTAGAGGTCGCTCGCGCACTAAACGCGGCAGAGTGTGCGAGCGAGAAAGAGATAGGTAGCGGGTCTCTGTCAGGAGGGGACGGAAGAACCAACAGAAAATTAATTTCTTCATTCTGGCTATAATTATGATCCGATCTAATTCGGCAATCTGGTAGATATGGGCATTCTCTACGATACTGCGGTTTTAGTTTTATCGTATCTTTAAAAATGTGCTTGCCACAGATTTTCGTCTTTTGTAGGGTCGGAAGGGGGCGGGGCGAAATTTTGAAATACACTTGTAGCAGTGTGATATCACATGAGCCTGAAAACTTTGGTTGCCCTAGCTCTTATAGTCTCTGAGATCTAGGCGCTCAACTAGACGGACAGACCGACGGATAGACAGATAGACGGACAGACAGACATGGCTATATCGACTCGGCTATTGATGCTGATCAAGAATATATATACTTTATGGGGTCGGAAACGTTTCCTTCTCTGCGTTACACACATCCACTTTTACCACAAATCTAATATACCCCTTAACTCTTTTTTTAGTACGGGTATAAAAATATTATCAAACAATTTCTAAGCCCCAAATCTTTTAGAAAAGTTTTTTTTGGTTCCTTGTGGAAAAATCGTGTCGGGTAATCATACAAATATGTGTACATTACTACTTATAAAAATGAAGTATATATTTAAAAATCTAATATATTTATTTATTTTTATCGAACTAATATTACTTGTATCCATAAATTATAGGTTTATTTGGCAATGAAATAAACAGTTTTCATAACATTCCTGTAAGTATACCTGTTTAAGTTGGATTCCAATATTGATTTGTCATGATACAATTTTTTATTAGTAACATGTACGATTCGAGGGACACTTCTATACCCCAGGAAGAACCTCGGCATTTCAGAGGTAATATTTATTTGATAAATTTTGATAAAAATCGACCTAGTTGAAAACCGTGTTATTAATTGTACTTTATAATGTTGTAAATTCTTTATTTCTTGATAAATACTATCAATAGTGACTATGACCATAGACTGTAATCTATATATATATAACGATAAGGAAATTGTGAGTCGCTTCTGGGGACGCGACTCTACTCTATACTTATACCCGTACTCAGTCAGTATATACATTTTTGAGCTTATAATTTTTTAGAATTTATTAATTTAAAAAAAATTTTACATTTCACATTTTTTTGCTACATCTGTTATCTACATCTACAATGTATATTTTACATCTAACATGTAGATTACGCATGTACCATTTAGGTTCTACATCTCCTCCGTGAAGGGTTGCTCGCGCACTGAACGCGGCAGAGTGTGCGAGCGAAAAAGCGAATGAATAGCTTGGTGTCTGTCAGGAGGGGGCGGGGAAAACAACTGAAAATTAATTTCTTCATTCTGTCTATAATAATGATCCGATCTGATTCAGATTCGGCAATCACGTAGATATGGTCATTCTCTACGATACTGCGTTTTTAGTTTTATCGTATCTTTAAAAATGTGCCTGCCACAGATTTTCGTCCTTTGTGGTGGCGGAAGGGAGTTGGGCGAACTTTTGAAATACCCTTGTAGCGGTGTTTTTTTTTTTTTTGTATTCATATATTTTAACTTTAAACTTTAGCGTGGCTTACACCTAGTAACAATAACAATAACAGATGGGTCGTGCGTCGAGCGGTACTGCCGCAAGGCATTGCTTCGCCGCCGCGAGGACACCTACTCCGTCCGTTCCTTCCGCCTTCTCTCCAGGGACCTAAGCGTTCTCGTCACGCTACAGGCGAACACCGCGGCCGCTTCCCAAACGCTTGGCTCAGCCAGCATCAGCGGCACCAGAGTTTCCGCGCTTATTTTTGCCCCTGCTGCGGCTTCCAACTCCTGCCGCACGTAGCCGAACCTGTGGCACTCAAAAAGAACGTGCTGAGCGTCTTCCACTATACCAGTGCCACACTCTGGACACCAATCCTCCGTCTCGTGGCCGAAGCGCTTGAGATAGCTGCGGAAAGAGCCGTGCCCGCTCTGAGCCTGGGTGAGGTAGAAGTCTACCTGCCCGTGCTTCCGCTCCACCCAGCACGCTATGCGCGGGATGAGGGTGTGCGTCCAGCGCCCTTTTTGTGAGCTGTCCCACCTTGCTTGCCAGTTCTCCAAGCTGCTCCTCCTGGCGGCAACCTTCAGCTCGGCCACGGTGTGGGCCGCTTCTCTGTCGTGAGTGGCGTCGTGTATATCCTTCCTCTCCCGTATCAGCTCACCGAGAGGGATTTGCCCGGCAATGACCAGCGCTGCTTCGTCCGAGATGGTTCGGAACGAGCACGCGATTCTGATGGCGGATATCCTATACGTGACCTCCAGCCCTCGCATATAACTTTTTACCTTCGCTGCCTCCGCCCACACTGGCGCGGCGTAAAGCATTTGCGACGTCACGACGCTCGTCAGCAGCTTTCGCGTTGCCTGCTTTGGGCCTCTGGTGTTTAGCAGCATTCGAGAGAGCGATCCTGCGGTCCCGCTGGCCTTCCGGTGGGCGTATTCCAGGTGCTCCTTGAAGGACAGTCTCGTGTCGATGTGGACACCCAGGTACTTAATAGACCTCTGCGATTGGATCGTGGTCCCTCCGACCTGCACTCTGGCTGTCTCGACCGCTTTTTGGCTCGATATGAGCGCCGCCTCCGTCTTTTGAGCCGCCAGCTCTAGTCCTGCGACCTCTAGCCACGACTCAACGGAGTGGATAGCCTTTGCGACTTTTGGTTCCTTTGCGACCACCACTATCGCAACGTCCGCGAAGCCTACCATGCTTGTACCGGCTGGCATCGGAAGCCTCAACACTCCATCGTACATGGCGTTCCAGAGCAGGGGTCCCAAGACGGAGCCCTGCGGGACTCCGGCTGAGACTTCGTATGCCCTGGAACCCAGACTCGTGTCCATTGTAAGCACCCTGGCGCTGAAAAAGCTGTAGGCTATGTTCAGCAGGTAACCCGGGATGTTGAAGCCTCTCAGGGCCTCCAGCGTTCGGCTCCAGTCGGCCGAGTTGAAGGCGTTCCTGTTGTCTAGTGTCACCACTAGACAGTAGGACTTGGTCCCACCTTTCCACCTGGTTCCAGCGGCAGCCTCCTTTTCCGTTCCGACGACCTTCGAGATGGCGTCCAGCGTTGACCTTCCCTTCCTGAAGCCGTATTGGTTCGGGGAGAGACCGCCAGCAGCTTCGATAGCTGCACTCATCCTCGTTGCGATCACCCTCTCCATCTCCAACTTCCATCGGAAGCAGCGATAGTGCCAGCTTCAGCGCTCTGTTGGGAATTGCATCGGGGCCCGGTGCCTTTTTGGGGTTAAGGTGTCTACCCGCCTGTCGTACCTCCTCTACCGTGACCTCGGAGATCTCGTCTGGGCCAATCTCGGGCCGTGGAAAGCTCTCAACCTGTTGTCCTCGCGGGAACAGGGCGCTGACTATCCCCTCCAGTACAACGGGATCAGTTGGGGCTTTGCCGCCCACGTTGAGCCTCTTCACCACCATTTTGTAGGCGCATCCCCAGGGATCTGCTTCCGCTGCGTCGCACAGCCTGAGGAAGCACTCCCGTTTGCTGTCCCTGATGGTGTTCTTCAGCTCTTTCCGCGCCGCTTTGTAGCGCTCGATGCAGGGGTCTAGGCGCGAAGTGCCCCTGGCACGTTGCAGTAGCCTTCTGGCGCAGAGGCACGTTCTGCGGAGTTCTGCAATCTCCTCACGCCACCAGAACACCGGGACGTGGTGCTCTGGTCGCAGGCAGTCTGTTCGCCCTCTCGTTGGCTCCATCCGTCTCGGTTGCCGTGAAGCTCTCCAGAGCGCCTACAAAGGACTGCGTCCTCAGGGTGTCCTGCCGGTACTCCTTCCTCTGCCGGGGTGTAGTCCCACCCCCTCGCCGGGGCAGGTGTCTCCCTAGAGGTCTCCCTAGGGTCCGGGTCCGTGCTCAGTCCCGCTGCTGGAGTTGACGTGGATGCTGACGAACGGATGAGCGAGCTGCCCGCGAAAGGGTTTGCTGCTTCCATCTCTACTGCTTCTTGGTCTGCACTAGGTGGCTCCCGCGCTGGCCACAGGTTTCCCCTTGGATTCATGATGGGTGAAATACCGCCCCTCTCCGGTCCCCGACGTCCCGTTGACCGGGACACCGCCTGAGCGGGGGATCGGAGGTTGGTCGGGTCCGTGACCTGTGCTGCCTGGTTAAGCCTCGAAGTATGCACTTCCTTAATTGCCTTGCGCTCAGCCTGGGGGTATGCAAGGCTTTTGCATGATCTGCAAATTTCTTGCACCCTGGCAGCTGCTGCCTGCTACGGTGGAGTCGTGGCCGATGGGTGCCAGCTGGTAGATTTGTGCACTACCCAGCACTATCGATCGCAGTCAGCTGTTTGGCGAGTCGGCGAGGAAAAGGAAAGCAAAATTGCGCGTGGAAATTTATTTTGTTGTTGCTAGGAGAACAAAAGGAGAGAGCGTGGAACAGTGTTGAGTGTCCCCTCCGCCCCTCCTCCTGGGATGGAGCACCGCTCTCCGCCTGGTAGAAGCGCTCGGATATGTTCCCCTGGCGTGTTGGCCTGGCTCGGTACGTACCCCTTCCCTTTGGACTCCTCTTTCTTACTCTTCCCCTGTTTTTTAGGGTGGTTCTTCACCTGCAACTTGGCACTTTCACTGGAGGATTTAAAAACACGACCGTTCACTTTCGGTTCACTCTCATCTCCCCCCTTGTAGCGGTGTGATATCACATGAGTGAGGAGGAAACAAAATTTGGTTGCTCTAGTTTTTATAGTCTCTGAGATCCAGGCGCTCATCAAGACGGACGGACGGACAGACGGACATGGCTATATCGACTCGGCTATTGATGCTGATCAAGAATATATATACTTTATGGGGTCGGAAACGTTTCTTCTCTGCGTTGCACACATCCACTTTTCCACAAATCTAATATACTTAACTCTTTTTTGAGTACGGGTATAAAAAAGTCATGTCCGTTAGACCGCTTATAACTCAAGAACGGCTGGACCGATTTTCATGGTTTTTGATTTGTTGAATTTTTCGCCAAGGCGACCGCTCCTCAGAAAATCGCGATTTTAGAACTTCTGGACTGATATTCATAGTTTTTGATTTTTTAAATTTGTCTCCGTCCAGAATAGCAAAATAACTATTAAAAAAATTGGAAAAAGGGACAGCGACTCGGCAAATCGCGACTGGAATCGATAATATTGTTGTATGGAGTAGGCCTTTCCTGGGCTGTCAAACGTTTGCTTTATATTTTTAATAGCAAGTTTTACACAAATCAAAAAATAAATTCAGTCGGTTTAGAGTGCTTTGTTTAGACCGATATGGCTAATTGTCGAGGAGACAAAATAAAAACCACTAGTCGACACGACATTTCCGCTGTGGCCCAAATTGACTTTTTCTGATAGAATTCGAAATTTACCATTTTTTAAGGAACTTTTTTATGTTTTAGATTTTTTAAAGAATTTTTTAAAGTCTGGTATTTTTGCATGTTTTTTTTTTCAGAGGTAGTGCTTCTATGTTTTAAAAAACGTAAGTATCTTATATCTGGTTGCATAGAACTTTGCAGTTCTGAAAAGCTGACAAATGCAGCTATAGATCCGACCCAGACACTTTGTATATGCAGCTTAACGCCTGGAAGATATTAAGCTTTTAAATTCAAATTTCATCATTTTTTTTCGGTATTTTCCCCCGAAATTTGAATGTTAAAAACTCAGGAAAAGTGGAAAAATAAATAATTCTTGGCATGCATTTTTAGTTTTATATAGACGCATTAATAAGGCGTCGTTTGAAGATTGTTCCTTAAAATCTATGAAGAGACGGTGGAGCTATAATTCGTTAACCAAACCTAAAAAGTGAAAAAATAGACAAACAATAATTTTTGGAAGGTTGCGGGCCCACCTGCTGATTGGGAACAAAGCAAACGAAAAGGGGTTGAAGTTTTGGTAACTGAACGTGTTCCTTTGGCATTAACTGTTGTTGACAGTTATTTTTGTTTGTTTTTTATTTGGTGTTACGTTGCTACAAGTTTTTAAACGTATGTGATAAATTTGGTTTTCTACTGCTTGTTACTGTTCTTAAACCAATTTAAGTTTTGTGGCTGTCTTCCTTTCTCATTCCAAGCAGATTCCCTTATGAGAGTCCCCACACATATTCGCCCAACATATTCTCATTCCAAACACCTTGATACCGTCGTTCCATAGTTTTTAATTATTGGTGAAATCTCTCTCCGTGTTCATCACTAAAGTCCCCTAGGTTTGTCGGAAAAAAGTCTAAGTGGGAGTGCAGGAAATGGATTTTTGGTGCCATTGTACCGGCGAAGTCAAGAGTGTCGTTCCGATGTTCCAATAGCAAGCCAAATTTCCAATCCCAACGAATCCAACGCACTTTTGGTTATTTTATACTTCTTTTAATTAACCTTTATTGCATATAAATGTAAAGCGGAGCTTAAAAAATTTCGTGTTGTTCCCTCTCTCTTCTTTTTTCCCGATTGATCTATGTCTATTGGTGATCTATAGAAAATAATTTATACTGACCAAAGTTGCTTAAAACAATTTATATGTGATTAGTACATATTGGCGGCAACATTCCCCCATCGTAAATGAGACCATCTGGGCATTATTTACCCCCTTCTACGCCGACATCTAGTACAGCTATTTTCGTAGTAGGTCTCTCCTAACGCCTCGATGAGTTTGTATGGTTGCATGCCTGACTTGTCCATCTCTTGCTGTGACTAAGTCGATAATGCGTCCGTTTGGCCATAGATTCCTGGGAAGGTTGTCATCCACAACAATTACAATGCTTCCGACGACTATTGGATCGGACTTCTCAAACCATTTTGTGCGATTGGTGAGGACCGGTGTATATTCCTTGACCCAACGCTTCCAGAAATTGTCGCCGAAGTTTTAGTTTGATTTCAGCGCTGACGAAAGTTCATGTCGACACCGCATATTGGCTTATATCCATCAGCACGGTGCATCTCTTTTCTTTATGCCTGCCGACGTTAACAAGAATTGGCCCGAAGTAGTCTACGCCGGTATATGTGAATGGTTTCTCAAACCTGGCCAATCTTTCTGGTGGCGCTGCTGATATTTGTGTCGCCTTTGGGACTACTGCGAGGTTTCTGCATTTTTGGCATGCACTGCGTTTTGTATAAGACGCGAAGTTCGGAATGTAATACGATGATTTTACGCTGTGGATGATCGTCTCATGAGCCATATGATGATGCTCCTCGTGGTAGTTCTTTACGATTAGAAATTAAATATACTTTTGTCTTGGTATTATGATAGCGTCGTCTCTGCAGTTCATTTCGTTGGACCTGCCTTGCGCCCGCAAGATTCCTTTATGGCCGATGTACGGGTTCAGTCCTCTTAGAACACTTTGCTTGATAAGCGGCAGTCCTGCTGATAACGTGCTGACCTCATTGGAAGAATCGCCTGCTTAAAGAGTAGATTCTCTGCTCGAGTGATTAAATCTGGATTGATCTTGTTTGGTGCGATCTGTTTTTTCCTTAGAGCCTTTAACCAGTCGATGTACAGAAGAAATGCCGCCAAAGCTCTGTACAAACTTCGCCATTGAGAAAAAAACTCGACGTTTATAAGTTCTTCCCTTTCGTGACAAATACGTGCTTCTTTAGTTCCGTTGTATCGATATCCTTGACCTTAAAACTATATTCTGGCCACTGATTACACTAGTCAACACAACGTTTAGGCTGTGGCCCAAAATGACTTTTTCTTATAGATTTCGGGACTTAAAAGTTTTTAACGAATTAGGTTTTTTTAAATAATTTTTTTAAATCTGGTATTTTTTTAATGTTTTTTTTTCAGAGGTAGTGCTTTTTTTTCACATAACTTAAATATCTTATATCTGGTTGCATAGAACTTTGCAGTTCTGAAAAGCTGACAAATGCAGCTATAAATCCGACCCAGACTTTTTGTAGCTGCAGCTTAACGCCTGGAAGATATTAAGCTTTCAAATTTCATCATTTTTTTGCGGTATTTTTTCCCGAAATTTTGACTTTAAAAACTCAGGAAAAGTCGTAAAAAAAATGATTCTTGGCATGCATTTTTACTTTTAAATAGACGCATTAATAAGGCGTCGTTTAAGGTATTGTACAAAAGCACTTTGTACTCCAGTTTTAGTGGTGAACGGGTGTTTATTAGCCAATGTAGATTACTAGCTTTAAACTTAAGTAGATTTCTCTTCGCGTCGATGTGTTTACGCCAAGTAAGCCTTCTATCCTGATGAACACAAAGATATGTTACTTCGGTGGCTTGTGGAATGTTGATATTGTTCAGACACAATGGAGGGCAAGTTTGTCTGTTTAACGTAAAGGTGACATGCTTGCACTTTTGCTCATTTGCATGTATCCGCCAGCCTGCTAGCCATTTTTCTAAGGCCACAAGATGAGATGATAAGTGTTCCGTGGCCCTTCTTGGGTACTTGTCAGCAAATGTCGAAGTTGTTGTTAGGCTGTTTGTCGGTAGATCTGCTGTGAATATGATATACAGTGTCGGTCCAAGCACGCTGCCTTGCGGTACACCAGCTTCAATTGGATGATATTCAGAGAGGAAATCTTTGCATCGTACTGCGAAACTTCTTTGCTGTAGGTATGACTCCAATATTCCATGGATGTTCTGTGGAAGTAATATTTTGATTTTGTGGATTAAGCCATCTAACCAAACGCGGTCGAAAGCCTGGGCGACATCCAGAAAAACAGCGGAGCAATACTCCCGTCTTTCAAATGCATTTCGTATCTCAGAGGTTATACGGTTTACGTGTTCAATGGTTCCGTGTTTTTCGCGAAATCCAAATTGGTGAGTCGGGATGGCACCGTTGATGTGTAGGTGTTGCTTGATTCAGGAGCAGCTTTTCAAATATTTTTGATAGGCAAGGCAGTAGGCTGATAGGTCTATAGGATGATGGCTTGGACTTGTCTTTTCCGGCTTTATGGATCATTGTGATGACTGATTTCCCCCATTCTTGAGGATAATACCCCCATTTCATCATGCTGTTGAAATACACCGCAAAGCTCGGCAATTCTATAATCATTTTTGGGGAGATGAAATCGTGGCCCGGAGCGTTCTTTTGCTTTGAGATTTGGTCTTTAATTACCCTTGTGACTTCTCCTGACTGGAATATGATAGGCGGAGTAGCTTCGAGATTGTTGGTTGGTGGGAGCACAAAGCTATTTGTTGCTGAGTGTGGTTTGAAGACGTTTTCTAGATGGACGGCAAATTTATTTGCCTTCTCTTTGTTGCTGCGAGCCCACTCTCCTGTTTGTGTACGCAAAGGTGATTCACTCTCGATTGGTGGGCATACGCCTGATTTTGCTTTACACAGTGGGAATCGTTTGCTAGTTGGGGAGAGTTGCTCCATATAGGATATTTGAGCTCGGCTTTTTTCATCTTTTAGGGCTCTGCGTAGTAGGTGGTTGGCTGTTTTTAGCCGCTCTTTCGAGGCAGGTGATCTGTGTGCTTGCCACTCTCGGCGAAGCCTTCTTTTATTGCGTAGCAGCACTTCAATGTGCCTAGAAATACGACTGCTGTTGGAAAGTTTATTAGGTGCTAATATTGGTGTTGAGTGTTTTGCCGCCAGTGACATTGAGAATACTAATGCTTCGACTGATCTATCAATGTCATCTTTACAATTAATGTTTGGGCAGCTTTCAATATGAGAGCTTATGTACTTCCTGTATTTGAGCCAATCTGTTTTGCTAGATGTTAGAAAGTATGGGCGTTCCGAAAGCTGTGGATGGTCGTAAAGGTGAAGTAGAATGGGCGAGTGATCCGATGATAGATCTGTTAAGTGATCTACATTAATCTGAGCTTGCAGCACCCTTCGTGTAACTGCAAAATCAATCAAGTCGGGCTGCTTGTTTGGATCTGTGGGCCAATATGTGGGCTTGCCCGGAGAGATAAAGTCTAGCTTGTTTCGTGGGGTTATTATAGCGTTATATAGTTTTCTTCCTTTCGGGTTGGTAAGTCTAGATCCCCAATGGGTGTGCTTGGCATTTTAGTCATCAGCTGCTATAAATCGGTCACCTAGTAGGTCGAAGAATGTTACAAATTCTGTTTCGGAAATGCAGAAGCGTGGTGGGCTAGGTTTAGGTAGCCGCTCTGAATTTCAATATGAATTGCTGTTGTCTGTAGATAAGGTGTAGCAAATGAAGGCAATGGATAATGCCTAATGCGATTCTTGATCAGAACGCCAGTACCTCCATGTGCCTTACCATCGGGATGATTTGTCGTATACAAGCTATAGCCATCTAGGTGAAAATAGTTTTTATTTGTTAGGTGAGTCTCTGATATGAGCATGGCGTCAATGTCGTGTTGAGCGAGGAACTGTAAGAGCTCGCATTTGTGCTGCGAAATGCCATTTGCATTCCAGAAACATATATTTAGACAGGCCATTTTAACAGATTTCGGTTTGATTAGGAGGAGATTTTGGTTGCGCATAAGCTCCTGCATCGTTTGTTGTATTGCTACCATTGTGTTTGTTATAGTTACCAGCATTGACTCAATTCCACTAGG